GACTAATTGACCTCTGATGCTGCGCACTCTTAACACTTCATGGGCTCAAGACATCAAATTCAGAATTCCGACAAGTTGCTTCAACCGATTATCGCACCACAGTTGCAACTTAACAACCCCAGTACATGGGCCGGCTACTGATGTGATATGCACCCCAAAATGCATAATTACATTACATTCAAATCATTCAAATGTGTGGAATGCGGCATTGTCGTGCATCCACGCAGGTATTCCGATGACTTGACTCATGCTCACACTATGCCACCACGTCAGCACCACATCCCTATCACACGTGCAGGTTGCCGGTGAACGTTTAGCGGGCAGTGAGTGCAGCGCCTGTACACGAGAGACCCAGGTGCAGCCGACAGTCTTTGCGGGATCCATTAGTTATTGTTTGAACAGCTGAGTGGTGCAGCTTGGCCGCAGCTTGGCCCTTGTCACCTCGAGGCATTTCTCTCATTCACCCGCCAACAGCCGAATCTTGGCTTCTCATGGGTTCAGAGTTGCAGATGCCTGACATCCAACCAAAACCTTGCATGATGAGTCAGGAATTGGGAAGAATCATCCCCAACCCCCCAAAAGACCCATTTCTGGCGGTGGAATATGCAACAAATTGCCCAGATGCCTTCAGGTATATTTGTCAGTCCTCAAGGCATTTGCTGTCACCTCCTTTCACCCGTGCAAATGCCCCAGATACCAATCCCCTCAGCAATGCTTGATCAACAGGCGTTGAAGTACGGTGACAGAGGAGAGAGCACTGTGAACTAGCGGGTGAGAATGCCCCAAGGTTGGCCAGATGGAATGCATTGATGATCATTGATGCGCAGATTTTGGAGGGGTCATTGAGCACGTGGGTATGGGTCAAGTCCGCGCCAAAGACCAACTTGAACTTGAACGGTTTAATATTGGCGTAACAAGGGCCCCAATGATGAGACACGTTCACATACCCGTGTTGTGGCTGATGGTTGCTGATTTGACCACAGTTCAGGAGTTCGAGGTGCCTCCCAACCAGAGCACCTGGGTTAAACTGCGATCCAGGAAGCCAGATTCCAAGTCTTCACGTGGTAAATGTTGGCTCCTGCAAGCGTTGTCAACTTGTGACCTCATGATGTCCCACGTGTGTTCTACCGTTGTTCCACTGTTCTCATCATGGGTGTCATACCAGCAATGCCCACAAACTTGACCTTGACCTTGCCATTAACTAGTCCAACATCTTTTGCAACTGTTGTGAGGTGGAAGATCCCGAATGATGAAATTCGAAATCTATTCGAAATCTGTATATGCATGTGCAGTCATGTGTATTATTTACCCCCTTTGCGGAAGGACTCTCATCATATAAACTTGCCAATTTTGTGCCGCTGGTGTCCATCAAAGGATTTCGCCTAGCGCTGCCATGGCATGCACCACCATGACAAATGGATCATCATGTATCACAGGCTGCATGGATAAGTAGCAAGTAAAACCATTGCGAACAACCGCAGCGAGCTGCAATAACCCACAAGAACCTGCAATGATTGCCGAAGATCCATAATTCCATGGTTTCTTCACGTTTCTTCCCAACCATTCCTTGCACAGAGCATCAACTCCCGGAGGCGAAGCAGTGAGCCGACGGAGCCTTCAGCCTTGACGAGCCCTTGAGCCGCTTGAGCCATAGTGTTTCATTTCTTCGGTTTATGTTGGCTGGTTATGAGTTTGTATGGGCTGTATGGGGTACTGTTTGGTCTTGTGTTTGAGATTACACCATGCTCCAATTCATGGCGGTTTGTGATTATGGATAATTACTGGTGTTTGAGTATTTATGTTCATGGGGTGGTCGTCATTCTGCGAACTCGGAAGACCACGAGCTGAGGGGCCAGGAGAGCTGGGTATCATTCATTGCGTGCCTGATTTCCGACCAGTTTTTTGTTGATGCTTTTGAGGTTGAGACACTGAAAGGGGTCCGGAGGCGTCAAAACCCAAGGATGCCTTCCTTCACACTTCTTGATTATGCAATGGGCGGCCGCAATCCCATGCTTCGCTGGGTGTTTGGGCGAGCCACGCTGTTGCAGGGTCCACCAAGCCGTTCGGAGCCATAGATAGATGCTGTAGATGTGGCATACCTGGTTGGGACCTTCCCGCCGACAGCGAGATTGACACAGGGAGATTGATCAATGTTGAATTGTTGGAACGAGGGGCGAGCATGACCTTATTTATGACGCATTGCAGGTCAGGTCAGAAGGTCAGATGCCACACTAAACGAACAAAAGGGATGGTATGATTTGACGTGGCTTGACTGATCGTCTTGAATGATGAAGCTTCGAGGTGATTATAGCAAACTTGTTCAAAGCTAATTACATTAATTTGTTCCTGTTTGATTTTGAAGTTTAGAATTTTTCTTAACTAGTTTAATCTGAGTTTCAAGCTCAACTACCTTCAAGTACGCATATTGATGATACACATTTGGCGATTGATTCCATTCGGGACCAGGGACAGATAAACATTTACATGGATCGGCAGACAGAAAGAGAGATGCACCCAGAAGTTCCAGCATTCTTCATTCTGCTGCGGGGTTGCTTGGCAATCATGCTTCGCAACTTCACACATCTCCTGCGTGTTTCTTATTTTGGAACTTCCGGCGCCGCTTGGTGCGACTGTGCTGGTATTGGCATTGGTTAATCACTTCCTTTTGTCAGCATCATCATCACTGCCTCGTTGTCAGCACCATGTTTCACTGGAGTCATGTGGAGTTGCCAGCTGAAAACAACAGCTGCTGCTTTGGGTTGGGTGAGGGATTGGATCCTAACTGCTCTTGGTATTGTGTTCACTTTTTATGATAAAATGCCTTTTTGTTTTGCTGGCTGCATGGTTTTCCAACAAATCAACGATCCTAAAAACTGGTCCTGAAACAGGGCAAACTCCTCCCAACTCGGCAGAACATCCGTACAAGCAGTGCCATCGAGAAAACATTAGAAAACATGAGCCGACTACGGTTTCCCCATGAAATTTGTGCAAGCGGCATGTTTTGTGCGCTTGGTTCCTTCGCACCTAGGGACTAGCCCCTCTCCAGGAAGCCTTGTGGCACAAATCCCTGCGGTATTCGTGGGGGACCGCGCAAATCCATGCCTCAGGCGCTGAGCTGTGGCAGACAGAAACACATGAAGTCGACATACAGCAAATTAATCGACATTGACATGGCGGGCAATGTCAAAGACCACCTCTGGTGAATTGAATTGTGGTTATTGTATCCCCAGTTTCAGTTGAGAAGCACATCCCGGTTCATAACAATGCTCAGTTGCTTGACCCTTGGGCCAATCAATCCGCAGATGTCTTGACCTCCCCTAAGTGCACATGTGGGAAAGATCAAAAGCACAGTCTGAACAGCATGGATCCAAGTCGATCTGCAGTTTGCACGAGAGGTCCCCAGTTCTTGCGCCCTCGCGGCAGTTCGTGTTGTCCCTGCAGCCAGGTGATACAACCGAAAGCACGAGCAGCACGGTGACCCAGAGATTAGCTGCCAAAAGCCCAACATGAAGTCAATCCTCAAAAGTACATTTGCATGCATGCTTCTGATATTATGTGAATGCGTGCATGATTGCATGTGTGTACGGATGTTGTTTGCTCGTTGCTGTACGGGGTGGCTGAGAGACACAGAAAGCGGAAACACCCCCATATTGTCAAATGGGGGTGTAAGTTTTTACCAGACCTTTCCAGGGTGTTACCTCCGCTCCTCGCACAAGCAACATTTTCTGATGTACATAGCTTGATGTTTTTCTTGGACAGCACCATATAGAAGTGCGACATGAGTCCGTGAACATTAGGATTTCCAGTCGCTGGACCCTTCTAAGATTCTGGGGTTCGCTCAAGGATTCAATGGGCTGGTGCTACAAATTCCCGAGAGACAGGATTCGTCTAATTTGGCAGCATCGTCAGTGTGCTGCCGGCTCAATCCTAGCTGCCCTGCTGCTCTGGCTTTTTCCAGCATACCGGCACCATAACGGCACTCTAGCTCTGCCAAAGAGTCGAGCCAACTTATCTTCGCATATCTTTGCTATGGGAGGGTCCATTTGCACATGCTGCTTTGAACGAGAGAAGGCAGGACCACAATTATTCCGTGCCTTGCTGTCGCGGTTGTTGCCTTTTGCCAGAAGCCTAAGCCTGTGAAGATGCAGGTAGGCCTCCCTCAGCTGTATTTGCCAGGCATGGAATTTTATGACTTTCCATTCAGTTGGGAATAAACAGATCCCAACTGACTTTAACTCCATCATTTTTCAGAGAGGTTGTGGTCAACCACCAACCAGAAATATATGTATATATACATATTAACCATCATTAACCATATAATGACCATATATTAACCACCAACCAGCAAAATGATATGGGGTAACTCATAAGTCCAAATATCCCCAAAATGGCCGATCTGTTTGTCAATTGTGAATTATGGCTATGAATAGATGGGGATTCGATTGTCCGAAATAGTGTACCATCTGGCTATTTAACACCATTTTTAATAGGTAAACCATCTATAAATGGGCCATTTTCCATGGCTATGTTAAATAACCAGAGGGTAACCAAGATTCTTCAAATTAGTTTTAACATACCCCAAATGAAGTTCACTATAGATATACCGTCTACATTTCACTCTGAACTGCTTTCGAATCAGATACTTGACCATAATTCATACGAGCCTGTATGTTTCCACTTCGAATATCTTAGATCCCTATCGCTTGATGGTACCCATATGGAAATGGCTTAAAACCGAAGCTAGAACATCCATGTTCCAGCTGTAAATCTCCACCCATAGCCATATCTACCCCCAACTACCATGACAAAATTAGTGCGCCCCATATCAGGCAATTGTCATCATTTTCCTCATCAAAATTGCAATCTATGTGTTGCCAATCCCCTATTTGGATCTTTTTGGGGGCATATTGCTGATTTTCCCCATGTTTTGGAAGGTTTGAAATCACAATCCCCCTATTTTTGCGTGGCCATTACTTGGGCTCCGTTGGGTAAACTCGAAGGCATCAGCTGTATCGCATCTTCACAGAGTTTCTCATTGCGCCATCCCTTTTAGCGGAGTCGGAAATTGCCCAGTCTGGGTGCGGAGGTTGACGTTGACATCATGGAAGGTACTGATGGGTTAAGCCCAAACATGGTTCTAACTACCCTCCAGAAAACTAATTGATATAGTTGTGAAAAAAAACATGTGATTTCCATAGCTATATAGCATTATATAGCTATGTTATTAGTTTGCCAGAGGTTAACTCACCGAATATAATTAGCACATTCTGGGATCTTGCCAATAATCAACTTGTGTAGCTAGGTTCTTGACCTTCAGCTGACGCCTCATCTAGTCATGGTGGATTTTCTATAGCTATGTCATATTGATTTACTGGAGCTTATTAGTAAACTGTATTAAAACCATACCCATATGCTCAATGGTTCAATGTATGGAATATCTACCAACAATTTACCCCATAACTCACCCAGTTATGTAGGTCAATCTACCAGCACCATGGTTCGCATTTGGGGTCTCGGATAAGTCACGACCACTTGGGAAGCCCGGTTTCATGGGATTCTGTGAAGATCCATACAGGTCATCGTCAGGTCTGGCTGTTTTTTCGTGGTTTGAAAAGGATTGTGGGTGAAATGACCCATAAATACATCCCGTTTTGGGTATTCTCCATATATAATATACTGGTTGGTAGTTTGGAACATTTTTTATTTTCCCAAATATTTTATTGGGAATAATCGTCCCAACTGATTAATATTTTCCACAGGGGTAGGTCAACCACCAACCAGTATATCAGTATATACATATATAGATATGATATAGATATACCAGAAACAAAACATCCAACCAATAGTTAGTTCTGCTTCTCAATTTCTACCTCCTGAGGTTACATCTCATGCTGCTCCGTGTGGCGCAGGGAATGTTCAGTCGGGAGCCATGGACCATCGCCTGTGGGGTAAACCGTCAAGACTCCAATCTCAGTCTCAGGATGATTTCAGGTACAAGGTGGTGCCCCCCAAGTTATGTGAATGTTGGTTATTTATAGGTTGGTTTATAATCCCATGAAAACTATAGTTATCAACTCCAATTTCACTATGGTTTATAGGTGATATAATCCCATGAAAACTGGTTCGATATATCACCAACAAAAACCATAGTGAAATTGGAGTTATGTTCACCAACTGAACGCTATCGAACGGTGGCACCACCTTGTGAACACCATGGGGCTGGCAACAAAAAAGTACCGAAATGGAGATGATCATGGGCATTTGTAACAGACTGTTTATCCGATATGGTAATATATGTTGGGATATGGTGGTTAATAGAGATATTAATAGTGGTTAATAGGTTATAAACCAACAACAATGGGAATATGATGGTGATCTGGTTGGTGGTTTGGAACATGTTTTATTGTCCATTTCATATATGGGATGTCATCCTTCCCATTGACTTTCATATTTTTCAAGATTGTTATTGCACCACCAACCAGATGAGGATCCATTGATTTCCAAACAAAACTGCTTGCTCTGCGGGATTTCTGACGACCCATGGAGATGTCTGGGACGTGTGATGGAATATTCCCAGGCGCCGGAGCCGGGAAAAGAAGGCGAGAGAAAAGGACGTATGAACGATAAAACATAAGAGTTAAAACTAGTTTTATGTGTTTTTTGAATGGGAATATGTTATTTGTTTATCTATGAAATCTACAATTAATACAAGTATGTATGTATATATATATATGTTCTTTTTTAGTTGCTTTGGAAGCCGCTGGTTCGTTCATTCAATCTCCAGTTGGGTTGGTTGCTTCGGCTGTTGCTTGATTCCTGATGTTTTTGTTGATGTCTGATCCGGAAGTGGCTGGTTAACGTCTTTCAAATTGTCAAAGAAAGTGGGCTTCATCAGAGTAATTCCATGACGAGCTATGTGAAAGGCAAGCTATTTGTTGTCAGTACTGAGCTGTTGTGTTTAATCCACTTTCAAACTTGACGATGGAACCCGAGAAAGGCGGCTTTTAGCATGTTTTAGCGAAGTCTCGTTGGGACCCCATAGCTTTTAAATAGCTTTAAGATTCCAGAGTCCCCTGCGTTCAATGACATGGTTGGTTGATCAAATCCGCAAAAAGTCCCTGCAGAAACCATGTTGGTTTGTAGGGGATGAAATCACATATTTGGATTTGGATCGTAAATGGTGGTGTTTTCTATCCACTTATCGTAGATAAGCCTCGTCCCTATGAGAAATTACTCAGGAAAGGGCCCCCAAGTTATAAGTTGATTTGTAAACCCAACAGAGAAATCCATGAAATCCTTTTTTCAATACATGAAATGAATCTAGTCATAGACCACCCAAACGCCTAGTTGTTGGGCGCTTCCTTATCGGCCATAAGGCGATGCATGCAGCGGGGTGATGGCATGTGCGCCATCCGAGCTGGGTATGGCGAATCCATTGAACGGAAATGATCTACACACATATATATATATATGAAACCAATGATCTACACTGTACACATAGTTTAATACATAGAATTACATATAGTATAACACACACACATATATATATATATATTATATTGTATAATATGAAACCAATGATCTATCCTCTGGTAAACGTTTACATAACTATGGAAAATCACCATGTTCAATGGGTAAAGCCACTATTTCGACTGGGCCATTTTCTATGTCGCTATGTAGAAAATTACCAAAGGGTACACTTAGTTTAATAATTTGAAATACAGATAGTATATTGTTGTCCATCGGTTTCGATAGTTTATTGTCCACATGAATGTCACTGCAGGGCAAGTGGTAACATGGGCCCTTCATGAAACGGCCTTGCGAGGTCAATCCCGACAGAAATTTCTGTACCAAAACGATTTTGTGGGAATTCCCACAAGGACACAGTTCAGGCACTTAGCCTAAATTTGATTATACCTCATTTAACTAAGGTTATATATGTATCATTAAAAGCCAGTGATAACTGTTTTTCAGGGCTATTTTTCCTGCCACGTCAACTCAAGTTATCCAGTTGCAGTGCTCATTTTTTGCGATGAAACACCAGGTATTGCTTCGGGCTTGCCTCAACAACCGGAAGAGTTGGGAGGGCCCAGCCATGCATTGGATTGGTCTTGTTGGGAAACTCTTCACCGGAAACCATGGTTTTTGCAATGTGATGGCAGGTTACCTTTAAAGAAACACCAACATAGCTATGGAAAATGGCCTATTTATAGATGATTTACCTATAACAATCGGTGATTTTCCATTGCTATTTTAGTTTACCAGAGGGCAATTCTTTTAGGGGACGGCAATCCATTCCTCAGTTGTTGTTGGTCATACATACTTCCAGTTTTGTCCGACTGTTTCTAGCAATCACCCACAAAGTGTTCCCATAATTCCTAACTTCAAGTTGAAACGCAATTGCCCGTCCCCTTTTTTCGGGTTTACAAGCCTATGATATCCGGTTTGTCCTTGTTAGTTAATTGTAAACCCCGAGTATTAGTATCACATGTGGACATGTTGTTGTCTAACATGTTAACCATGCCAACGCCATGGTTCTGGATTCTAGTCCAGTTGCCACCCCTGTTTTGTCGGGTAATAAACCACACATATCCAACTGACTATGTGTTAACTGTTTAAACAGTTTGAATCATGATTTATGTTTTATGCGTTTGGTCATGTTTGGTGCTAACCCCGTTCTGACTTGTTCTTTTTAAAAGATGGATATCCAAACGCCCAGGTCCTTGCTGTGGGATGAAATCACCTCCTTTCTACGAGGCGGGTGATGTCCCTCCCAAGTGACTTTTGTTGCTTTACAATCCTCAAACAAAGCCAAGTTATGGAAAGTGAATGAAAGTGATGTTCGGAAACCTTATATATTATAGTTTCTAAGTTGGGTACACCAAGTTACCCAAGTGATAGAACATTTTGAAAGGCAGAGGACGAGAGCAAGACACCTCGGAGAACAGCAGCATGGCATTGCTCAGCAGCTGGTTCAGGAAGATCTGTGTATTGGAAGGCCTTCGCATACTGCTTTGTCCCTTCCGCGGAAGGAACGCAAGAGAGCATTTGGATTTGCGCTACTTGCTCAGTCCCAGCACCCCGCCTCAGTTAGCTATTGATATTTATATATATATATATATATCTCATCATATAATCATATAATCATAAAATGATGTAAAGGATGTAGTGATATAGATAATGATGTTGCGTTGTATATGGTGTATGTCATGTAGACGAGGTTGATGGAAAAAGTTTGTGTAGGTATTGTACATGGAATAAATATGTGAGATAGATGATGGTGATGATGATGATGGTGGTGATGATTATGAGGATGATGATGATGATAATGCTGATGATGATGATGGTGATGATGATGATAATAAAATTATGGTGGTGTAAAGAAGATGGTGCATAAGATGTGATGATGTGGGTGATGTAGAGGATGTAGTGATGTAGATGATGATGTAGGTACTCTATGCGTTGTAGATGAGGCATGTTATATAGATTAGGTTGATGGAACAAATGTGTAGGTGGTGTAGGCAATGTAGGTGGTGTAGGCAATGTAGGTGGTGTAGTCAATGTCGGTGGGACAGATGTAGGGGATGATGATGATGATGATGATGATGATGATGATGATGATGATGATGGTAGATGTAGATGTAGATGTAGATGTAGATGTAGAGAAGATGGTGTAGTAGATGGTAAAGAAGATGAAGGTGATGTACAGGACATAAGAGATGTGGATCATGTATGTCAGGTAGATGAAATAAAGAATGAAATAAATTGACAGCAGTTCTTTGGGAAAAAAACCTGTCGTACAAATTTCCAAAATATTGGCCCTTCAGTTGCCAAAGTATTGCAAACGCTTTTGTGCCTTGCACGCCCGACCTCTAGAGTAAGAAGGGCTGGGCAATAAATAGTTTTACCCATTGCGTGTTTGGTAACAGTTCGGGCTTATTTTATTGTCCAATGAATTAAATGAATTATATTCCAAGCCTCTTCACAAATAACATCCGGGCTTGTTGACCTGAAATATAATCATGAATATTCGCGGCTTATCTTCTTTTTCCCTTTTCAATTATCAAATCAATTCAATGCTGTGCTAAAAGTAACCAATTTTGAGTTCTGCACTCCGATTAAAAATATCCAATTACTCCACAATGAACTTCTGGCTTCTCTCAGGATGTTTCTTGAGAACCGAGCATCTCAAGAGGATTACATTTTGTCACTGTTAAATTTCAGCCAGCTGTGCGGCGAACATCAACATAATTCTTCTTCACATTTCTTCTTATTTAACTGCTACAGCCAGTCCCAAATCCATTGCGACAAACCGAAGTTGTGCCTGAATTTTCATTATTTCAACGGACCAGTGGTAGTAAATGCGAATATGAAATTATTTGTTCTGTCTGTACAATACAAATAATGTAGGTCAGAATCTTTTTTAAAACGAATGTGTAAGTATTTTTCTGGACTGCGCAATGTCAGCCGATGATTGTTTATACAATATACATAAAATCGGCAGGCGTTTCTGTACAAGGACGCTTTGTGCTTCCAACACCCTGACCACCTTTTCGCCCGGAGGGGGGTGTGAGAAAAAAGCACATATTATCGACAACAAACCAATATTTGGTTCAAACATGTAACCCGCCACCTTTGGCATTTTTCTCATTTGACTTGGACCCCAAATCTCACAAATTAAACGAAACAATTGGTCAGACTGTCACCCTATGAACTCCTTGATCTTCCTCAGAATTGTGCGGGCACGGAGGGCCATAGACTCCCATGATCTCTTGGATGCCATGATAACCATGCCATCAGGGAGTAATTAGTTTTGCTAGCAATTTGGCCGCCACTTTTTCATCCGGAAAGTTGTATATACTTCAAGGTGTCGATATTCCAAAAGCTTTTCTCGTCTTGAGAAACTTCAAGGAACGGTCTTGCGTTTCTGAAGTTGCATCCTGAGACTTGCGCCGTGATCTTGTGTAGGTCCAGATGGTTTCACTGAGCTGAGCAGTTTGGATCTTTCCTTGTAAGAGCCAGTCACACTACTAAATTAATACAGTTAGTTAATTAATATAAAATTAATTAAGATCATTGAAAAATAATTTAATTATAGTAATTGAAATTCATATCTTTTAACAATTAAGTATAGTTTATGTGTAAATTAAGACTTTTTTATGTTGAATTGATTTAATAATTAATACCTAGAGAAATGAAGTATTACTATTAGTTATCAACATGTATTATTAAATGTGGTGGTATGGGCTGGTGGTTTGATATTTATTGTTGAAAATAAATGCAAAGCTGATTGTTCTTCAAGCCCAAGGCTTGTCCCGTTCAGCATCCCGCCTTGTCGACCTGCAGGTGGCTTGCACCATGATCTTGCGCAGGAACAGATTTACTTGTCAGTGCAGCCAGCGGGTGTTTGTGTACAAGGACGCTTTGTGCGTCCAACTTCCACTGACCGCCTTTTAGCCCGGAGGGGGGTGAGAAAAAGTCCCAGAACTCACTTTGCAGCATTTAACTCAATATTTCTTTTGGATCAGTATCACATCCTACCTAATAAGATCACAAAATCCCAATGCCTAATGGGGCCAGCGGGTGTTTTTGTACAAGGACGCTTTGTGCGTCCAACACCCGCTGACCCCCTTTTGCAGAGGAAGGGGGGCAGCTCTGTTAGCTCTCACAGTGGGGCCAGCGGGTAAGCTTGTGCAAGGACGATATACGTCCAATACCCGCTGACCCCCTTTTGGAGAGGAAGCGGTGGAAAAAATTACTTTACTTCGTGTGATCCCCACCATGACATTTACAAATTTATACATTTTCTTACTGGAAAATCTTCTGGCATTCTATCTGACATATCTTCTGACATTCTATTTGGCATTCTATCTGGCATATCTTCTGGCATATGTTCTGGCATATCTTCTGGCATTCTATCTGGCAAATCTTCTGGCATTCTATCTGGCATATCTTCTGGCATTCTATTCTGACATATCTTCTGGCATTCTATCTGGCATATCTTCTGGCATTTATTCTGACATATCTTTTGGCATTCTATCTGGCATATCTTCTGGCATTCTATCTGGCATATCTTCTGGTATATCTTCTGGCATATCTATCTGGCATATCTCCTGGCATATTTTCTGGCATTCTATCTGGCAAATCTTCGGCATTCTATCTGGCATATCTTCTGGCATATTATCTGGCAAATCTTCTGGCATTCTGTCTGACATATCTTCTGACATTCTATTTGGCATTCTATCTGGCATATCTTCTGGCATTCTATCCGGCAAATCTTCTGGCATTCTATCTTTGTAACTTTCTTCTGCACATCCTTTGTCCCATATCTTCCTACATGAGGTCCGGCAGGGAACACTTGGCGTGGATACTCGCGATTGAGGTCCGGCAGGGAACACTGGGCGTGGATGGTCGTGGTTGAGGTCCGGCAGGGAACACTGGGCGGGGATGGTCGTGGTTGAGGTCCGGCAGGGAACACTGGGCGTGGATGGTCGTGGTTGAGGTCCGGCAGGGAACACTGGGCGGGGATACCCGCGGTTGAGGTCCGGCAGGGAACACTGGCGGTGATGGTCGTGGTTGAGGTCCGGCAGGGAACACTGGGCGTGGATGGTCGTGGTTGAGGTCCGACAGAGACCACTGTGCGTCGAGGGTCGCGGTTGAGCAGGAGGAGGACGACGAGGAGGAGGAGGAGGACCAGGCAACTGACATAAAATCTAACAACCCTCACCTGGCAGGTGGGGAAAAAACAATTTCCCAGAGCCCCAGGAAACCAAAAAATCACAATATCCCAGACCCCCCAAACCATCAACCCAAACCACCACATAAACCCAACCTGATAATGAATTATAATAGCTATATTTTTTTTATAATTATATACTAATTAATGATAATTATAATGTCCACATATAATTACAAAAATCTTTATTATATTAATTTAATTAAATTAAATTATACCCAAAAATAAATTAAATCCCTCGATAATTTAATACAGCTTCCGAACTGCCAAGTACGCCGACATGTGTTCCAGCATGCGCAACTGCGGAGCAACATGTCAGCTTATTGCGGATGGGGAAAACATGCAGCATGTGCAACAGCGGAGGAACTTGGGCAACTAGCAACGTAGCGAGCAACATGTAAGCTAATTGGACAGCACGCAAGCCCAGGAACGTGATTAGCCCCCCCACCCAACCCGCCCCACCCCGAACCCAAAAAAAATGCAAAACGCTTGGCCGGTTTTCGTAGCATAAACACATTACACTCTTACAACAAAATATCATTGTGAATGCTTAGGGCTGTAAGCTTTCCCACCCGCTACTTGGAGGAGGTTTGCTGGAAACTTTGCAGCCGATTCTTCGATTTGGATCCAGCGGGCTGTTGGAACGAAGTTACGCTGCGCGGCACTGGAGTAAAAACTGCAGATGGCTACCTAAATATAATTAGGTTTTGTCATGGTTGTTGGTCATGAAATGCTTAAGCAGCGATTCCATGACAATGCTGACTGCACTTTACTGCGACCGTGATTGTACTGAATGGCATCATTTGGAGGAATGAGTTCCACCTATGAATGATAATCGGTTTTGAATGATAAGTCAGGTACCAGCTGCCATGACGCCATATTGTACCAAAGTGGGAAATCCGTGCAAATCCTTTCAATAATGCTCAGAAAAGAGCTAGAAGTAGAGGTACCATAGCGTTATTTGTATTGCTTTCCTCCGACGATCGGCTACTTTGGTGCCAAGTTCATGTTATAACTGGTT